TTTTTTTATTTTATAAATTTGAACTTTGAGTGCATGAGAGAGATAATAAAAAGGTATTATTTTATTTTAAAAGAAAAGATTGTTTAGTCCATTCTATATCAACATACATACTCAAGACGGTTAAATGTGAGGTAAATTTTTTAATATTAATTTTTTTTTATTTAACATATCATATTTTTTAATATAATGTAATTCAGATTACAAAACAAAAACCTTGTTATCTTATATAACTGATCATCAACCAAAAATATAATTCTGTTACATATTTTCTAAACAGAAGGAAAGGAATTCTATTAAAATTATTAAGGGAATTATAATGGGCATGAGAACCCGGTGACAAATTGAGTCCTATGAAACAATTATCAAAATATGAATTAAGCACAAATCACAGACATTCTACAGCTCCGCTAACAGCTTCAAAACCCAACATCCCATGAAGAATGGTTTGGTTATGGCCAATCAAAAAATGGAAAATAATTGGTATATACTCAATTTAATATACTTTTTGATATCTATTCAGTTTAATCATTAAAAAAATAATATAAATAAAGTTGATTCAACTAGTTCTTATATATATTGTGTGCATGACCATATTTTTAATTTATTTATCTTTAATTTCAAATTAAAAAAAAATTTTTTTAGTGAGTATGTTAAATTGAAATATGCACCAATTAATGTCTCAACAAATTATTAGAGCCACACAAGTTTTTATATAATTGTCTTTTAAGATACTATTCAACTTAGTTTAACAGTAAGAAATAGATGATAACTACAACAATTAATCTATAAATAATAAAGCAGTTGATATTTATTATTATTTAATATATTAAAATCATATATACAGTAATTAACTGTTTAAAAAAATAAAAAATAGTAGATACACTCTCCAAATAACTGATATCATACAGCTAAAAGTTATGGTTTTTTTATTTTTTTTTATCGTCCATACAGCTAAAAGTTATGATTGTTTATAACTCAAAGAAAAGTTAAAGCATTTTGTGCAAGTGCCAATGTCCACATAAGTCAAGGCCCAAAAAGCCAAAAAGGCAGCCCCTGTTATTTGAATATGTTAGCGCATTGTCAGAGAACATGGAATTATTAGCCAAAACGGCGCCACAACCATTTAAAGACACCAACACATGATTTTATTGAATGAATTTGGCACGTAAAGAGAATTGTTTTAAGCTATTATTTTTAATTAAATTAATTGTGGGTTCAGAAAGCGGACTGATGGCTTAAACCATTGACCTAAAGTACATATTTCCTCATGTACATTCATATTTTTGAATATGTTCATCTCTTCTTATTTATTAATTCATTAATGAAACATTTGATTCTTCAAGAGAAAAGAAATTAAAAAAAAAAAAAAAGATACTGGCTTCTTATGTGACCCTTTCATTCTCTCAAATGAATTGATATTACTCCGTTATAAATCAGGGGGTTCACTCCTAATTTTTTTTTTTTTGTTAATTAAGATTTAACTTTTTGATTCAATAAATAAGATGATAATTTTTTATAAATTTTCAATTTCAGTGTAAATGATATGTTTTTGATGAAATGAGAGAAATTTTGAATAGAACAAAAAGCAAAATGCACAACATATGATGAAACTGCCTTAAAAGAAAACCTCTCTCGTCATATGAACAAAGTCGGTGCATTAAAGTTGAAAATCTACTTATATTGATTGGTGCGACTTCAAATATTATATAGGCATAGAATTTTGATCTGCTCTGTTATTAGTGAACTAAGAATATCATGACTTAGTATAGTTGTTAACTCATCACTATCATTCCCATTGACGCTAAAAATGCGGTATGTGGTCTTCTAAAGTTTAAGGTCATCAAGACATGTAACATCAAAAAATAAAAAAGAAATAAGGTTATGTAGTTAATTAATTAGTTAAATTTAACCGAATAAATAGAGAGATTAATTAGAATTTAATTATGCCTCTTTTTTTTTTTTTTGAGTAAAAGATTTCATTTTTTTTTCATCAAATCACAAGATTTCATTTGGAGGATACTCACTGAAAGTTAAGAAAACGACCTCCCATCTTCCCGTTGTTACCTTGGTTTTCGCTTAGGTTTGACGAAAAGATAAGTTTTTATATGAAAAAAAAAATTATTAAACCCATAACAAACTAAATAATATATTTGGTTTGAAGTTTGAAGAGAGGGGAGAGTTTCCATTCTCCTCCCCTCAGCTCTCCTTTCTTTCATTTTTTTTTAAAAATCAAATATATTATAAAGTTTTATTTGTTAGTGTTTCTCAAATTTTTTTACATAATATATTATCTAAAAATATAAAATTTTTAATGTTTTATTAGTTTTAATCATTTTTTAATATATTTTTATCAATTTTAATTAATATTTTATATATTTTAAAGACAATAACAATTACAATGCAGAATAGCACTCACAATCCAAATCTGTGATAGACCGAAAGATAAACCATTTTTCTAGTACTTTGGGTGTGAACTCAACTGCACCACATGATACCCTTTTCTTTGATGAATTGGCAAGCCCAATCTTGATCATCAACATAATAATTTTATACATTGAACCCTTAGAACTTAATTTTTTTTTTTTTGTGCTAATCTTTCGGTATCCGATAATCACATTAAATTTTGATTAATCCAAAATCGAGCCACGTCTGATCCCATTAAGAGAAAACTCTCCTATTGCTTGTTTTTTTATTCACAAGACGTAAACTTAAGATTTTGCTTAAGGGAATCAAACTTCTTCCACTTAGATCAACAAATCATTGGTGAACTCTTAGAACTTAATATTTATACATTATTATTATTTTCTTTACAAAAAATAAAAGACTATATAAGAGAGATAACTCTTACATTAAAATTTTTTTTACGTAACTCAAGGTTTTAACTTAAAATTTTTAAATTTAAATTTTAGACTTTTAATTAATTGAACCAGCCCTTGAGAACAATTTATATTAGTTAAGTAGTCCAAATATCTCAATAACAATGTAATTAGGGACGAAGTTTGAGCAAGACACTAGGGATGCCAAAATGTTTTTCAGCGGTGTAATTTAAAGAAAAATAAATTCTTAAAGCACCAACTATTAAAAAACCTAACGTATAGAAAGATTTTGAAAATTTTTGGGTGCCGTGGCTTAATTCTATCCACCGTCCTTGAATGTAATAGAATCTTTCCATGCCAACCATAATATCCTACATTAAGCAATGAGGTGTGTTTCAAGAATGTTTCAATTAGCAAAACTACCCAGTTAAAAAAATACAAAAAGCATGTTTCAATTAATGAGGATAGACTGCTGGATTTGGTAATTGGGAGATCATTATACTGGATTACTTGTAGATCTGAGAGAGCAACATTTTCAGTTTTTGATTGGAATAAGTGCATAAAAGCTATGACAAAGAAGGTTGGTGAAGTCCTGCATTATGTATGGCTGCTATATTTCAATGATTCTTTTGGGGAAGCGGTTATGGCCACACACTAAAGGTATTAAGGCTACACACACTTTACATATATATTTTTTAGGACATTGATATATGTATCCTTCAAAAGTTACACGTTTCGTTACATATTGACAGTTTCTGTTAGTATACCGTTAAAATTGATAAAAATTGTTAGTTTTAATGGTAAAAATAATGAAATCGTTAGTTTTAATGACATAAGTAACATAAACTATTAATCTTAATGACACACTAATAAAAATTGTCAGTGTATAACGAAATATGTAACTTTAGAAGGTATATGTATCATTTCCCTTATTCCAAATACTCATTTTATACCATCTACTTTTTCCTAAGCCAAACAAGCAATTTCAGTTCAAAAACTTTCTTCCTCCCAGTCAAATACCAACATGCAACGCAAATAATGAAGATGAAGCACCAACAATCAATTCTCCAACAGCATGAATGATGAACCTCACAATTGAGCACCCAATTGCTTATAAAATTTAAGTAAATAAATGAAAGCACCGCATTAACAGAGCATTCCATTACACTAGACATTCTCCACTAATTAATTCTCAACTGCAGACTTAAAGCCTTATCACATATTTAATAAACAATTAATGCTTTCTTCGTACCTACCACAAAACACACATGCATTTAAGCCCCTTGCTGCATTACCACTCCCAATTATATTTTGTCAAAAATGCAAAAAATTCCTGAAAGTGACTATAATTTTCCGTTTTGTGTTGGTGATCTTTCTTTCTCACTTTGGAGTAATATATGTTGCATCTTTGCTTAGCACATTTTTTAATATTACATTGGAATACTCTCTGTACTCCATTTAATTTTTCTGTCAACAGAAGGCTATATTATTTATTAAGAGAGCCGTGTTTGATGACCAAATGATTCACCAGTTAAAAAGTCTTAAGCCTTGGTGTCTTGTTCAAGAAATCTTGGGTTTAAACCCAGGCAATGATTGACTTTCTCGGCCTCTATAATTTCCTTTGTTCGTAAAAGAAAAAATGTCATTTATGTAGATATAAGTGCAAGCTGCGTTGGCATACATATATATAGATATACACACACGTATAAGTTTGATGTTATAAAGATATGATCTAATTAAATGCTCTTGCTCTTAGTTTTCCTTCTTTCTAATGTAAACAAGAATCAATGGAACCTCGATACTTTTTTAAAGTAGAACATGGAATATTTCTCTCTTTTAGAAATTTCTCATTGTCTATTCAAGATTTGAACCTTCAAATTGTCAGCCTATAATATATGCATATTAACACAAATTTTTTTGTCCATACTATTATGATATAGTTAAAATCATATGGTCATATATTCATATTTCTATAATGTTAATTATTCATTTTTGTTATAGGTTCAACATTAAAGTGTTTTATTGTCGAAACTATACTAAATTATAAAATGTGCATATATTAGTGAATGATGAGTGATGTTTATATTTTTTGAATAGTTAAAAACTTACATTATTAATAGAGTACAAGAGATGCTTTCATTTTTTTACAAAGAATTTATCGATACATGTAATGAGAGAGTTCTAATAATGAGAAAGTCTTTTTTATCTAATAATTAATATTTTGTAGTATGAAAACTGTTGATTCATTTTTCTAGATGAAGCTGGGGACTATTAATTCGATATATGCTTAAGTAATTTTAACTACTGGACAGAGACTTATTTTAAGCTGGACACGGAATTATTTTAAGTAATTGCAATCAACTTAATCAATTTGTATGTTAAAATGGGAAATGATATTTGTGCAATCTTCTTGTCTAATTTTTTTGGACCATGATTGGTGTACACTCGGATTCAACACTCGGATATATACACTCCACATAAAAAAAAAAAAATGAATTGGGTGTTTCTCATTTTTTTTTTATGCGGAGTGTACACACCCGGGTGTTGAATCTAGGTGTGCACACACCATTTTCTAATTTTTTTATGTAACCTGATGTGTCATTAAAATGATTTGTTCTTTTAATTCATATAAGACTCATGATATTAAATGTATCTACTTATTTAATGATATATGAAAATAGTATAAAAAAATGTGACAAAAAAATTATTTCAATAGCATCACTTTATTAAAATATTGGTTAAAACCCCTTTTTGGTCCCTGAACTATTGTACGGACCCCCGATTTGGTCCCTGAACTAAAAAAAT